AAAACACTGATTAAATTTGAGTTTTGGTGGCGTCAGTTTTACTGTTCTAGAGTTATGCCCCTTTACAAATTTAACAATTGCTGATTTTTGTCGAGCCGTTGACTTTTGTCGAAAAAGCGAGACATAGCGATTCTTCAATTCGTCGTCGGTGGCGGCGGAGTCCACAAATATTCACTCTGTGGTTGAAGTTTTTGAAATTTTAATAACTTTCTTAAACTATCCTGGATTTCTACCAAACTTGGACAGAAGCTTTTTTATGATCATACGATAGTATTCAGAAGTAAATTATGTAAAAAAAAAATCCATTTTTTCAGTATTTTACTTATAAATGGACTTAGTTTTTCTGCCAGGAAACATTACATTCACTCTGTGGCTAAAGTTTTTAAAATTTTGATAACTTTCTTAAACTATCCTGGATTTGTACCAAACTTGGACAGAAGCTTGTTTATGATCAAAACTAGTATCTAGAAGGAAATTTAGTTAACATTTTGCTCTTGTTTTTCCGTATTTTACTTATTAATGGACTTAGCTTTTCTTCCAGGTAACATTACATACAGTCTGCAGTTAAATTTTTAAAAACATTTATTAGATTCATAAACTATCCTCATTTTTGTCGAGCCTGCGATTAACAGCAAAAGTAGGTGAGACACCAGGTTCTGCGGAACACTTACAATTTTTTTTCAATTCCGTGCTCTAACTTTAGCGTGCCTCAACCAAATGTTACGAAACTTATACACAATACTTTTAACCACAAAACCAAGACCAAGTTTGAATTTTGGTGCCTTCATTTTACTGTTATGGTTAGGGTTATGCCCAGTTACAAATGGAAAAAAATACTATAAAATCACAGGCCCTAGATATGGCATGGGCACATAAAGAAATTAACAGAGCTTATTGTATATTTGATTATTTTAGATCTACAGTTTAAGGTTGCAATAGGAAATAGCAAATTTTTTTATGACAAACATATGAAAAAAAGTGTGATTTTTGATAAATGCTGAAAAGAAAATGGTTTAGTTAAAAACATCAAAGCTGTGATTAAATACATATTTACTGGTGCTTTCGACTGGAGAACCGTTCGTACACAAGCATCGCACAAGTTGGCACTCCGAGGCGGGTGGGGAGCAAGAAGGTGAACTGTGGTTTATTTTTATCAATAGTACCGCTTAAGTCGACGCTAGGGGCCGTCTTGACCTTGTTGTAGGGTATGAATGATTTGTTCATTGTTGAAGACCCTACATCAACTGTCAAGATGAAGAACAGGAATAAAAGCCCTGTTCATTGATAATTTTCTATGTTTTCTATGTATTGTGTGCGATTTTGTCCCATGTACATTTACTCCATATCCTTTCATTTTCTATTGAAACAATACACATCTATAACCTATTTGAAATAATACACATCTACAGTTGCAAACTTCCCAGAGGTGCTATCCAGCACTTTGATTAAAAAATTCTATGGACGACAGAAAGAAGTACGAGCAAGCGAAACCTTAGTTTTTCTTTCTGAAGACAATTTCGATTGGAACGAGTTACTTGATTTAGCAGTAAAACATCCTTAATCAAAATAAAGACCCCATGTCCATTCTTCTTGGAATCGAAAGAAAATATGTTTGTTTAACTGGCTAAATTAGTCAATGATATATGGCCTAAACTGCTCCCATGGCACATGAATTGTCCGATATATAGCGAACAAACTTCAATTTATATGTATCTTATTCATCAAATCTGAATATATCTCGACTGGAAAAGAAGCAACATGGTGTTTTAATATTTGATCCACGACACAAAATCCCTACATACAATTGGCACTACTCAAGGCAAAGGGACAGTGCATTTCGATGATTGCTGTTCTTCATCTGAAAGACACACTGTGAGACCTACTTAATTTGTATTTCCAACTTGTATACGCAAAAAGATGAGCCTCTTCAATAGCTAAAATTATAAATGAAATTATGGTTCTTGAAAACTCTGTAGTTTTTGACATACTGAAATTGAAATTTTACTTTGCTTTTCGAATTACAAGTATTGATAAAATTGAGAACGGAAACGGGGAATGTGTCAAAGAGACAACAACCCGACCAAAGAGCAGAAGCCCAAGGCCACCAATGGGTCTTCAACACAGCTAGAAAATCCCGCACCCGGAGGCGGGCTTCAGCTGGCCCCTTAACAAAAATGTGTATTAGTTCAGCGAACTAGGACAACTCAGTTATACGCTGTATAGAATTATTCCAAGTGATCAACAGGGAATGCCACTTGTTGAAAGTCACAAATGATGGCCAAAATATATCATGAACCAATTACCATATTTCATTTAACTTCTCGGGTCGGTGTACTATAAAATAATGTATTATAGTTTCAACAAAGAAGTAATTCGGGATAAGAAATATCTAAATTGATAAGTTTTACGTTGCATTTAAAAAATCTATTACAAGAGTACTATATGATTAGAAATCATCGCTCGTTGTTGGAAGTTCAGTGTCGCCACTTTTCGTTCTTGTCACGAGAAGATATTTGAGAGGTTTCTATTGTTTATCTTAGAAATCAAATAACGGACACATCGCTCGTTGTTGGAAGTTCAGTGTCGCCACTTTTCGTTCTTGTCACGAGAAGATATTTGGGAGGTTTCTATTGTTTATCTTAGAAAATCAAATAACGGACACATTCCATCTCAACCTGAGAACGAGTTTCTCATTATCTTCTAGCAATGTTTACCTTTTGTTAGATGTTGTACTTTCAATGGTATTTATAAACCCAGAGTGAAATTTTAAATATTTGGTATACATATGTTAAATCTTCAAAACAAGATTTCAGAACTTGGATAACGGGAAATATCAGAGAATAATGATATACATTTTAGAAGAAAAAAAAATCCAACACATCTTTGCGAAAGTTGAAAATCCAACTGATTAAAAGTCAAATTGACCTCTAAAAGTCTTTACACACAGAACAAGTAGATCACTGAACAATCTCAAAATGTCAGAAAAAAACACATTTTAAAACATTTACTGGACACATCTTCTATATTTCTATTCAGACTTACATTTTATTAACCGTTAGTTAACCAATTTTTAAGGTTATGAATCTGTGGCTTCATTAAATGTTCAATCCAAAAACAAATTGAATTTATATTTTTGTTTTGTTTAGAAAATATCAAAATACAGTTACTTGTGTGTAGAATAATTTTGATGAAAGCTTACTGAAGGTCGTTGATAGGACGCCAATCCATGAGGGCGCGACAACATTGTCTTTAATATCCAATCAGCTTTTATGTTGTACAAAGTTTGACGTGCGGTGATGCTTGAACAGTGTAAATTACGTTGTCATTGTTTTATGACATTGTTTTAGAACATCAAAAGACTATCTACTAAACTATAGTATACTAAAGTGACCGTGTCATCCTGATTCAAAACTAAATTGATTTAGAAAAAGTGCTTTGCAACCGCTGAGAAAAAGTTAAGTTAAAGGGTGATGCATTCCAAGCCGACATATTTATCCTCTTGGTATATCTTTTTTTACTCTATGTCATTTGGTGATGCATACTAAGCTGAAATGTTTATCATCTTTGCATTTAGTCTATGTCGACAGATGATGCATGCCAAGCACAATGCTGATCCTCTTTCTATCTAGTCTGACTATATGATTATGCAAAATGCGTTCCAAACTGATGTGCCTATTCTCGTGGAATTTTTTGTCTTCAGTACTCTGTTAACGGATAATGCATGCTAAGTTAGCGTGCCTATTCTCTTGTCATAACTTGCCTTACTCTATGTCGATAGGTGATGGATGCCAAGCGTACATGCTTATCCTCTTGGTATATCATGTCTTCCTCTTAATTGACATGCGTTGAATGCCAAGCTGAGATGCTTCTCCTTTATCATTTCTTGGCTAACTTGTGTTTATTGCTATTTTATGCCAAGCTCAAGCCAACTTGCTTATCTTACTAACATTTCCTGCATGACTTTGTGCTGACGGATGATGCATGCCAAGTTGATATGCTTATCATCGATCCTTGTATATCTTGTCTTACTCTGTGTTTACGCGTAGTGCAGTCCCTGCTGAGACGATGTCATTCTTGACATATCTGGTATTACTGTATGTTAATGGTGATACATGCTAAGCTTAGATGCTAATTTTCTTAACTTACCTTCTCTTCCTTGACGTTAACTGGCTATGGTGATCAATGACAAGCTGAGATTAGAATTTCCATGGCATATCTTTTATATTTAGTTTTGGCGGGTGATACATACCTACTGAGATGCTCCTTATCATCTTGAAAGATCTTTTCTGAATCTATGTTGATGGGTTATACATGCCAACCTGACTTGCTTATCATATAGGCGTTGAGCGAAGGTTGGCGCCTATTAAAACGTTTAAACCCTCTGCATTTGTTTGCACCTGTCCTAAGTCAGGAACCTGATGTTCAATGGTTGTCGTTTGTTGATGTGGTTCATAAGTGTTTCTCATATCTCGTTTTTTATATAGATTAGACCGTTGGTTTTCCTGTTTGAATGGTTTTACACTAGTCATTTTTGGGGTCCTTTATAGCTTGCTGTTCGGTGTGAGCCAAGGCTCCGTGTTGAAGGCCGTACTTTGACCTATAATGGTTTACTTTTACAAATTGTGACTTGGATGGATAGTTGTCTCATTGGCACTCATACCACATCTTCTTATATCTATATATTGTTTACATGTCAAACTGAGATGTTTAACCTCGTGACATTTCTTGATTTACTATCAAGTGGATGGGTCATGAAAACCAAGCTTAAGTGCTTATCTTCTTGGTGTTCATTTTTTCCGACTATGTTGTCTGTGCATGGGTCCTTGAACATGTAAATGGAATTGTGAGGTTAAAGTTCCTTGAGTATAACCTTCCTAGTTTTGATGTAACCAATTTGAAAGAAGTTTAAATGGGAACCATAATGTTGTGAATAATTATATGGATATGATGCAGAAATGATTCGAGAAATAGGATATAAGCCCAAACTCTTATGTTCTTACTTCAACATCCTACATCTGTGTTCATCCAATCTAAACGCGGCTGATTCTACATCCTGAATTGCATCATTAGAACTCCAAAGTCTCTCACCAGCTGCTGAAGCTCTTGGCCTATGAAACATAAAAAATGAAAATAAATGTAAAGATCATGTGTAGGAAGAAAGTGTTTGTTCAAGTGTTTGTATTTCATTACGTATTCTCACTACTATACACATTTTATAGATCAGTTAAATTGACAGAAAAAAATTGGAAATAAAAGGACAGAGACTAGCACATAAAAAGTTGGCGCATCACTTAAACATATACAGATATGTACAACATTCATCACTGCAATTAAAACTAGAATCCCCCCCCCCCCCCCCAAAAAAAAATAAAATAAAATTTGCCTGAAAAGAGGAAAGGAGATAAAAATGAATATAACATAAAGCATACAAAACAAATTATTTCACTGTCAATAATAATCAGTTTGATACATGTTCTTACTCTAACTCATGTGATGTACATATATCATCATCATTATTAATAAAAGGAAATTTTACGATTTGGAATTGATGTCTTGTTTGTTGTGGTTCTTTTATATATATATATATATATATATATAAATTATGTTGCATCCTAGAGACGTAGTAGAGTCTGTTGAATCTCTTTACATACCAGAGTCTTGGAAGTAGGTTTGTGTGGTCAATATATTCTGCAAAAACGCATGCTTCTCCTCCGAGCACATTTTTAAAATTCTCATCGCTTCCTATAACAGAATTTTGAAATTCAAGAAAACGATAATGATATAATAATTGAGAATAATTTATGCGAAAATGCAATTACGACATGTAAGTACGACTTCTTCTTAAAAAAAAAACATAGCAAAAAACTTGTAAGAACTGATGATTATAACCAGAGACATATATACACATGTATATATGTCTCTGTTATAACGTTAAACATATTTTTTCAGCTCGAAGAAGCAGTATTAAGAACTAACAAACACTGTCAAAGAGGAAATTTAATAAAAGAGGTCTGTTATATGAAATAAGAGAAGTTTCTCATGTCTGTTTAAGAGCCATGATTAAGGTTTAGCGATATAAACAATTTTATAAGATGTTGTTTGATTGCCAATGGGACCCATCAGAGTCCAAAGGAAATATTTTTAATAAACAAACTTTATAGCAATCTGTATTATGGAAAGAACTTCGAAGTAATTCTAGTTTGCATCTGACACATTGATTTCTTGTGTCATTTGAGTGATGATGGTAATACATGTAATATGTCTAGTCTGCAGCTGACACATTGATTTCTTGTGTCATTTGAGGGATGATGGTAATACATGTAATAGGTCTAGTTTACAGCTGACACATTGAATTCTTGTGTCATTTGAGTGATGATGGTAATACATGTAATATGTCTAGTCTGCAGCTGACACACTGATTTCTTGTGTCATTTGAGGGATGATAGTAATACATGTAATTGAGCGTATCGTACCAGTGAAATTTAAGGGATCGCACTGATAATATGTCTTCCAATCTTGACCATAACTTATGTAGTTTAGATACCAACATGATGATAGGATGACCTGATGCCCTTGGTTAGTTATATTTGTCAAATATGATTCCCATGTTCCTGGTGTATTTAAACTGCCTTTCCATATCTGTATGATAGCATTCTGTTGAACCTAAAAAAAATCTGATGCATTTTAACTCGTGTAATATTTTATTATGCTTTTAAATTTTCACAAACATTGAATGTCTTTTCATTTAAAAAGTTTGATGTTCTACCATTAAACGGTATTTGACAGGAGATTGTCTGTGCTAATTTTTACTGCACTTATTATAAGATTTTTGGAGCGAGAACTCAAGTTACCCTCCCGAAAATCATATCCACTCTATGTTTTGATGCGCATCATGTAACAGAATATTTCAATATCTCCTCAAAATTCAAATAAACATCATTGAATCTCTGCATAGAATTCTCCTTTCTCGTCATTTAAAAAATATTCTAGGAGCCATCTGGAGTTCCAACATCTGTTGTTAGTATTTTGACAAAATCTATATTGCTTTCTCACAATGGTGTATATAATGTTTACCTTTGCTCCATGATCGATTGGATCTTGCCAGATAATATTACTTCTATTAAGACTGTCGACGATTTTAAGAACTTTCTCAATATAATATTGTTCTAAAGCTGTATAATCTCCTTTTGCTATACCATTCTGGATCATGAATTTCGAGATTTCTGGATTGGTAGCCCTGAAGTGCAATTTACTGGTCATTTAGCCTAGATTCCATTTTTCAATACACATTTTTTAAAAGAGGCAGAAGATACCATTTGGAACATCCAATTTTTTTTTAACTCATGTCGAAGAGAAACTGACAACGCCATGACACAAATCGAAAAGAAAAACAAAAACCACATAACACTAAATTCTACACAACTGAGCAAGAGGAATCTCAACAAAAACCGGGGCTATCTGCTGATGTGCCGGTCCGGAAGGGTAAGCAGATCCTGCTCCACGCGTAGCACCCGTCATATTGCTCATCGCAGTTTAATGTATATAAGGTTTAAGTATCGATCTAATGAGTCAATTAAGTGGCTCTTTTCAGCTTATTTTTTAAATTTGTTATTATAATGTGTTGTGAAACTACTGTCCAATGTTAGGGGAGGGTTGAGCGCTTTTTATATAATTTCATATCAACGACCAGCCATCAACACAATATCTACACATGACCAATACATTAAGATATTACACAAGACAACCTCTGACGAGGTTCCTGATTTTGATACATTTTCCAGTTATCAAGTTTATGTTCATCTAGTATATAGTTTGTGATGGTGATATTAGATTCACTTTAGCCGTAATTTGGTTTAAATTAATTGACACAGTTTAACTAGTTTAATTACCCATTTCAGTCTAACTATTCTTTAAAGATTTGAATAAAAATATGTTGTTGCCCTGTCTGTAAACAGTTTTTGTTATTGGTTGTTATCGTCATATGTTTTGACATTCGACGAATAAAAGAACTTTTAGGCTTCTGTCGCTCATTGTTCATTCATTACTACCGTATAAGTTCCATCAGAACAACTGTAGTAGTTGTCGATATATATCAAAGATCCACGCTTTGAAAACACATCGTGGCATGTTTTATATAATAACCAACAAATGTAATGAAAAAAACACCTTTGGATACGTGTAGTAAAAATATTACCGTGACACACAGAGCGTACATACTATACAATTAGCTGTATGTTACCATCTGTGTGTTACTATACAATTAGCCGTTTGTTGACCTCTGTGTATTACTATACAATTAGCTGTATGCTGCCCTCTGTGTGTTACTATACAATTAGCCGTATGTTGCCCTCTGTGTATTACTATACAATTAGCTGTATGCTGCCCTCTGTGTGTTACTATACAATTAGCTGTATGTTGCCCTCTGTGTGTGTGTTTTAGTTCTTTGTGTCGTTGTGTTGCTATCTCATTGGTATATACCCACATCTCCTGTATTCATTTTATAAATTGTAAATTAAAGACCATTAAATAGAGGAAACATACATACCAGCAAGCATGGTAAGTTTCATCCATGCCTAGATGAACAAAATCATCAGGAAATACTTCTACAACCTCGCCTAGTAATTCTTTCATAAACTTGTATGTGCGGTTTAATGTAGGATTGAGGATTTCATACTCTCCATGAGAATTATACTTGCCTACACCAGGAATACCATTCTCATAACATGGTGTCAGTAGATCTGCAAAATAAAAAAAATATTAAAATAAATAAAAGGTTCCAAGAAGCCTGTATCGCTTATTTGGGTGCTTAGCACAATTCTAACTTAATAAAACAAATGATAGCCTCAAATACAATTTTGAATGAAAACTATACCATTGTAGAGTTTATTATAGCAACATTTGGCTCACCAGCATATATAAGGATTTTTTCTTCGGACGTTAATGTAGATATTCGCATCTTTATGTATATCAATGATAGAATTGGTATTTTAACAGCACATTTCATATTATAATTCAGATAATAACCTTTCAGAATAATGCCTTTCACTTATTCAGTGAAGTCAGATCATATCTATGGTTTAAACACGTTAACGTGAAAAGAAATTTTCTGGGTTTTTTTTATAGACAAGTGTTGAAACAATATTATATCCCTCAACACAAACTTTTGGATTATAACCTTTCATCGTTTGTTATTTCCGTTTAGTGGTACCTTTTCTCGCCTTCCCCCATGAAGCCGTATGACCAGGTGTATCAAACTCCGGAATCACACGAATACCTCTGAGTCGAGCATAGTCAATAATTCTTTTGATATCAGCATGTGTATAAACATGTTTTGCAGTGTAAGCGCCCTATAAGAAAACAAATAAAATAAATAAGATGTCATCCCATGCGTATACCCCACAAGCACTAAAATAATTTTCTATAAACAAAATTTTTCTTTAATATAACATTACAGTACAAAGGTATATTTTGTTCATGGACAAGTGTCTGTGGTATATCCTGGAAAAAGTACAATGAATATCAATTTTCTTGAAAGCATTTTCTTATATATTTTTTTCTAAATCTAACGATTTTGTTCATTGCTAAATGATATTTATAGCATATAATGTTGTTGTGGGGAAAAGTTTTGAAGAACAAATTTACCATCGGTTAACATGATCTAACATACCTTTGCTGATAGATCTGGAAACCTTTCGCTTTGATAAGGGAAAGACTGGTCATCAACGATATGCCAATGAAATACGTTGAATTTGTTGTATGACATCGCATCATGTAATAGAAAATGTAAAATGATAAATCAACAAGCTTTTGTTTAATCTTGTTTGTTAGTTTACACTCTAACTTCCAATATAAAAATAAAGAGTTCAAATGGAGTGGATGTCATCAATTACAGGCAACCGTACGGCCTTCATTTGCTGACATAGGTCTAATATTGTTTGTATCGTGACTGCAGCTAAAAGTGGCTACCATTATAAATATGAAAATATTACACACAAAAGTTAAACTTTTTCTCCATCTCTCAACGAACTTCAAATTGTGAAGAAAAGTTACGTGACATAAAATCGTAACGGGTTAGTAAACCCAACAACACAAGTTTACAAAACAAGACAGGACGTAATCGCATTATATCGTCATCATAGTCTTAGTTACAAGACATTGATTGCTTGTTTGTCTGTTTGCTTATCTAAAGTTTGAGTTTTGTACTGATTTCCTTAGTTTTAATTCCTGATAGTTCTTATGATGTTTTGACTTAAATATAAAAAAGGGGGATGTGGTATGATTTCCTTAGTATAATACGACGTCTATTCAGCGGAGACCAACTGACGAAGATGTAAGAGAACTGTACGCCAGCCTTTAAATATGAGCTAAACACATACCGTATATAGTAAGCCATAAAAGACAAAATGTGAAACAATTCATACCAGAAAACAAAGGTATATGATTATAGCAAACAAAAAAAAAGTAAATAAGACAGACAGCAACCAACGACAACCCCTCATTGCTCACACTGGGGGCTACATCATTATTATCATGATTGTTGTTGATAACATTGACATGTATCTTACTAAGTTTTTCAATAGTATCCAGACCGGTAAATAATGTCTAGCAGTATCCAACATTATCCCTCGGTGTTTAAACCTTGGTCTATCTTCTATCGAAGTTTTCTTCACTTGAATCTGAAGTATAATTTGAACATTGAAGTAGATTTTGAGTAACAATTTCAATACTTATACTGTTCTACAACTTGCAACGAAAGGTATACAAAAAGAAGGTGCAGCGGTTTAAATTGTCAATAATCAAAAAAGAAAAAGAAAAAAACCTCCAAGGCTCAACAAAAAGACGGAAGATTGACCTGTAACAGTTTTAAAGTTGAAAATTAAGTACATTAGTTACCCCTTTTATTTTACTTAATAAAAGATTTATTCTGACAACTATCCTTGATAAGAAAACTAACGTACTTAGATTAGATTTATCTGGTTGTGAAAAGCAACGTAATATATTGAAAAAAAGAATAATATTTAAACAGTAAATAAAAATATTTGAGTGTGGGTATTACCTTCTTTTGTTCATTGACATAAATCAACTGGCTAAATGTTTCCAGACCTACATGATAAAACAAATCAATCAACCTAAAGGTAAATAAATATATAATGTAAATCACTTCAATAAGAAACATAGTCTCATTTCAAAACTGCATGTGAATGATTAAACCATGAAAACAGTTCCTTACAAAAATCTTTTAAATAACCTTTTTATTACCTTTCCGGTATTCAAACAAAAAAAAAATGAAAATTTTTCCAAGATGATACATTATCTAAAAAACTAATAGACAAGTTTAAAAATTTGCGTTTGAACTCGGATGATCCAGAAGGTTGATAAGTTCCTGCATCATCGGTGGCACCGTCAGGTTGTTTATTTCGGTGCATTTATAAGCATGTACATGTTACCTCCGAGCACTTCGTGATGTTGTGTTTGACTTAGGGAAGTTCGCTACTCTGTTTTAAAATAACTTTTTTTCTAAATTATTAATTGATAGTATATGAATATTGGAACTAAATAGCACAAAAAAATAAAGTCCTTGTCTTTGTTTTTCAGACATAAACCATTGAAAATTTGGCGGGAAATGTATTTCCTTAAGACTGTTCAAGCATTTCACTTTGGCACCTTTTTTCTATTAAAACTATGAAAAAATAATAAGGATTTGATGAAATTTTCAACAATGGCTTCTAAAACAATATGTTATTGAATTGTGAAAAGAAAAGTATAGGTAGCGGGGAACAAAATTGTATGGCACTACATCTATAGAATCTTCCTAAGTGACACTTTGAAACATTTGTAATGCTTACCTCGGAGAACTCCCCATACAGATACTGCTGAAAGGGTAGAGGATTCGTCCACCGTCAAATTGTCTGAAAAGCCGTGAATGTTTTTTTAATCTATATTGGAAAAATGTAATTAGAAAGTTTGTCTTATCGTTAAACTTGTAGATACTCATGTTTCATTGTCGTATTAAAGTTTTGAGCCTGTAGCCCCTCAAGCATTGAAGTATTTATACACTATTAGCGAAATCTGAGTTTGAGCGTTCTTGATGAGAGTTACAGAAAAACGCTACAAACACTACGATTTATTAAATGTTATTTTCATTTATACCAACATATCAATATTGGTCATCGTGTAAAAATACTCAAAACTAATAAAAAAAATCAAAAACTTTTACTTTTACACTTGGTGCCTGAATATGTTTATTTGATTTTATGTCGAGCAATATATAGATATAACTTCAACTAAGATGGATTTTGGCTGTTATTTTTAGATCCTTTTTGGTCAAAGAGCTCTTCCACTGTGGCGATTCTTATACATCCTTGGCTTTCAAATATATGGCTTAGAGCGTTCCTGGTGAAGTTAAAGAAATTAAAGCATATCGGACGCATATAATTATAAAGTGTTATTTTCATTGTTCAAGTCAGAAAATAGCGAGGAAAAACTTACATGATTCATTCATATGGAGTTGAGGATAACCTGGACATTCATTATCTTCGATGTCGATTGAAAGACTTTTCATTTTAATTTGATGACTGTCCACGTCTGCATTCTTTGTGTCCATCTTAATAATGTTTTTATAACGCGACATAGCATCTTTAATGATGTCACATGCTGCCAGGTTAGATGTAAGTTCCAGTGTTTCCGGATTCAGAGTCAGTATTGTCGATGACTTCTTCATGGTTTCTGGATTTGGCCATGGTGATCCGGGTTCAGACCTATTTCCCTTAAATCAGAAGACCAACACATAGTTGTGTAAAAACAATAATAAGGTTGCTTGTTTATTAGGTCAACCATGAAATCCAAATTACTTTTGCATGGTTCAAATAACAACGAGCAAATTTAAATGCACGATCAAGTAGTTTAGCTGTAATTCGTTCAATGACATTATTTTTTTTTTCGCTTTTTCATTTGCTAGCGAATTATCTGTTTCTTTCTGTACACCAAAGTACTACATACTGAATGTAAGCAACCTACGTCTTCAGATACGTTTCAAAATTATATCGAAACTTTTTTTTTAATTCAAAGAGGTCCTAGGGGGCTTTTTCTGGTACGGTAGGGAATTGAACCCCTACTTGCATCGATAAACATTTAAAGTGTTTAATGGAAAAGTTCTGTTTGATTAGATTGTATAGAAGTGTAGTATAGAGAATATAAAAGCCAATTTTAAATCAAACGGACAATTAAAAACACGATTTTTTTCTATAACATCCAAAAAGTCATACTACAGAAGTAATTAACTCCATAATTTTCAAATTCTTTATTACAACATTTGATAATAATTTAAATAGTAAAGCAAGGAAACTAGATAAACTGTAGAACGCTTACTGAAAGCCGAGATTAAACGAAATTTGACGTGTTATGAGGTCTATAGTTTAGGCAGCCAATTCGTAGTAATATTTAGTTAGGATATTCTAATGTTAGGAGGATGCCTTAAGCTGTGACGAGGCAACGCTACGTTCATCTTTTATTTGACTATTCATAGAGGGTACGTCCTTGAAATTTTAGAAATGTACCAGTTCATATCGCACATTACTATTTTTATTACAAGCATATCTATGCAGTCTCTGTTGTAAATACCTATATAACCTATGTCATTTTTGAAATTTTAGAATTGTACAAGCGTTGTTGTGTTCGGTTTTAATTGTATAAATTTCAAGATTGTTATATCATCAGCTCAGTAGTCAGTACTTTGGTACTGACATGATTTATAACAAACCTTTCTAAAATTGTCCGCTTATAAATTTTGAAATTATGAAGAAACTAAGGTTTCAACTCCCTCAGGCAAAGTTGATCTTAGATGAATTTGGCTATTTGTTTTATGTATTTTTGTCATATAGCTCTTCAACTGTTTCGGTACTTATACATCCCTCGGATTTCAAATGTTTGGCTTTGAGCGTTCCTGATGAAGGTAAATCCCGAAAAGCGCTTCGGACGCATGAAATTATTAAACGTGTTGTTTTCAATTTTTTACATCACTGGGTCGATACCTCTGCTGGTGGACTATCAGTCCCCGAGGGTATCATCAGCTCAGTAGTCAGTACTTCGGTACTGACATGATTTATAACAAACCTTTCTAAAATTGTCCGCTTATAAATTTTGAAATTATAAAGAAACTAAGGTTTCAACTCCCTCAGGCAAAGTTGATCTTAGATGAATTTGGCTATTTGTTTTATGTATTTTTTCATATAGCTCTTCAACTGTTTCGGTACTTATACATCCCTCGGATTTCAAATGTTTGGCTTTGAGCGTTCCTGATGAAGGTAAATCCAGAAAAGCGCTTCGGACGCAAGAAATTATTAAACGTGTTGTTTTCAATTTTTTATAATTAAATCAGAATAGATTGACATGGTTCATTTTACATTATAATCATACTGATGAAGGATATCTGTTATCCGAAATATTTATAGATACTTACATTTATTGTTTCCTTTTTTTAATATTGGTGTTGTTTTTTACACTTTTTAGGCATACATATATATATATTATTCATCTATTTATTGAAATAATGTATATTCTATACGCTGTTGGTTTTGAATAACAAAGTATTTATATTATTATTATATGAGAAAACGATTTCCGAGTATTTATTTCTAATCTAGAAATCGGAACATTTTACCACTGAACCTTATTAGATCATTTCTATAGACGTGTAGGCAGGCAGAGGATTTTATTCTAGGAAGCATTCGCACTCGCTTCTGTGGATATGTCCCTTCTCTACACGAATATTTCAAGTAAAGACGGTATTGATGTATTTAAAGAAGTTTATTATTCTCAAGTAGTGAAACTTCCATCTTCTGAATGCATGCATGGTTTAAAGGCTCACGATGGTACTTAAGAACAACAACTTCGTCTTATACGGAAATTGATAGAACGGCAAGGGCACAAAATTGGCTCCATTTTATACAAACATTCGTAAGAGTTAATCAGAAAAGTGACCCATTAAATGGTATATCGAAACACCGCGGTCATGATTTAGGTTAATAGATGATGTGAATAGGAAATGAAATAGTAGTGACGAAGATTGAGATACATTTATCACTCATGCCAATAACATACATCTAAGTATTTAATTTACTCGATATGAGACTTCTAACTTCAAAATAACCTTCCATTACACTTCCAACTCAAATAGATGGCATGATATTAGCAAGATCTGTACTCTAAGCCTACTGACACCGGCCAATACCTGCCATCCCATTGTATTTAAAGCCTAACGTGAGGGTACCCAAATTGCACCTATTTTGACAGTTTTTTCACCTATGTTTTTTAATGGTCCAGACAAAAGTTTCCATTCCGTGTTTATTTTGTAGACGTATCCTTATATATTTACTATATAGGTACACCAATTTAATTTTGAATTTATATTGAATCATAGAAAAATGGGTTTGAACCGACCTCTAAACGGTCCATGATTCTGTAATGAGCAGTACCCAAATTGCATCCATGCTTAAATTCACATCCTTAAAAATCGAATAACAGATGTTTTGTTTTATTTTTTCAAATATTTAGAACAATTTGACATTAGTCCATGCTTACTATTCATTTTTCAAGAAATGGACGCATGTAACATATTTTATTTGCTCAAGTTTGAAAGGTGAATTTTTGTGAACGTCGCATGGCGACGTTTCTATAGATTTTACTTTTCCGGGGGAATGCTTCATCTGTTGATATATACTGTGAACGTTTTGTGTATATTTAAATAGTTTTACCTATGTTGAAAGACGTGTATAATGTTAATTAATGAAAATACAAATTGTTTTGTCTAAAAGAAAACTTGTAAGATTTCCGCAGCTATTTTTGTTGAATAGGTGCAATTTGGGTACTCGGTGCAATTTGGGTACTGTGACGTTATAACGTACAGTTAAGCACGCAATCAAGCGAATATGTCCCAACACAAAAACAACTAGAACGGACTGGGTCAAATATAAAACAACGCTTTAAAAAAGTGGGTAACATCAGACTATCAAGAACAGTTTTCAGAAAACGAAGAGTACTCCAAAGCATCTCAATGGGTATAAGATGGATGTCACAAGAAGCCATATGTCTCAGTGAGTGAACACTTCAGACAGTTGGACCAGAACCTCGATAATTTCAACCACAGGAAAGTTATAGTGGTTTATTTTGAACAGAAGAATCATTGGAATGATACCAAATGGGAGGATTGGAAAAGATTGTAGTTAAAGGAACTGTATGTTCTACATCCAGATGGTATCGACAGTCTTGTTAGATATGTTTATTAGTGTTATTCTTAGGTCGTACGTATATATTTTTACTTGTATCATTGCATTTTGGCAGTATGGGTGTATATATTTTTACTTGTACCATTGTATTTTGTCAGTATGGGTGTATAAGATGTTTGTCTTTGCATCGATCTGATGAGTTAAGCCTTTTTCAACTGATTTTTACAGTCTGTTCTTATGTTGTGCTGTTACACCACTGTCCCAGGTTAGGGGAGGGGTGAGCGCTCACAAACATGTTTAACCCCGCCACATTCTGTATGTGCCTGTCCAAAGTCCGGAGCCTGTAGTTTAGTGGTTGTAGTTGGTTCGTGTCTCTCATAATATTTGTTCTTGGTAATTTGTTTTGTTAAAAATTAGGCTGTTAGTTTTCTCATTTGAATTGTTTTACATTTTTCATGTCGGGCCTTTTATAGCCGAATATACGGTATGGGTGTATCTCTTTGTTGAAGGCCGTAATGTGGCCTCTAATTGCTTACCTCAACTTCATTTGAACTCGGATGGATAGTTGTCTCATTGGCAACCATACCACATCCCCCTTTTTTTTTTATATTTATGGGTATCAACTTAACAATGGCCTTTGACAGATTTTACTAAAATACTAAACATCTCTAATAGGTTGTGATAGGAGAAATAAAAGATGTGCATGAAGTTTTAATAAATTAGAAAAATAAATTTATATTTACAGCAGAATGCATTGAGTGTGTAGGTAAAGGTAATATCTTTGGTTAGCTTGCTTGTTAGCTGAACCGTGAAGTCATTATTAGGTTAGGTAAACTATCCTCCTTTAAGGGTAGACTAGTCCGACCGATAACCAATCTATCTGTCTGTAGGACTATACTACTCCGAAAGGAGGGTAGTATACCTAACCTAATAATGAATTCACGGTTCAGCTAACAAGCAAGCTAACCAAAGATTTTACCTTTACCTACACACGCAATGCATTATGCTGTAACTGAAGTGGGTGTAGACTGCAATATATGCCATATGACTTTTAATTTCAAAGATCAGCATTAAGTTTTAACAAATAAAAAAATAAATTTATATATATATTTACCTGAAGTGGGAGTCGAATTGCAATATAAGTAATGTGACCATTAATTGCATAGAAAAATCCAGAAAATGTAAAAATCACTATGTATATAGAAGTATGTACCGACATCCTAGATAACTTTGTTGCAACAATATATAAAACATGTGTCATGATATAAGTGATCCTAAATGAACCTTATTGTTTACCAAATTCCATTAAAACAATTTGTTGTCAAGAAAATCTTGGATACTGTACCTATATTTGCCCGTAACTTTGATTAGGTGATAATGACAGATCTTTGATTATAACTGAAACATCATTCACTACTTTAATAGATTCTGGGCGATTTAGAGCTTGATATATTATATCTAAGACTTAAACTGTCGACGTAGATATTGAAAAAAAGAGACATTCAAACTCACAAATCGATAACAAACTGACAACGCCTGAAAGAAACAAAAACGTCAAAAAGACAAAGAACAATATGTAAAACAAAACATAGAAAACTAAAGATTGAGCAACACGAACCCCACTTAACCATGGATAATATCAGTTGCTCCGGAAAGTAAAAACAATTGTGTATGAAAGTTGATAAAAAAAACTCTGGAATCTTTTTTACGACTCTTTCTTGCTGTAATACATTCACGAATACAAGTGATGTCAATAGCTGATATGACTGAGATCCGGGTTCTTTAGCTGTCAGCCTCTTCTGCACGGCACACGTATGATAACACAAACACGTGTCATTATGCATCCGATTTATTATGTCTCAACACAGGTACTCCTCTAAATGATGATACATCTTATCCATGATTCTGTAAAGAATTCATTGCAGCCTGAATCCCAATTTTCAAAAATGGGTTTGCTTTCACGTTGTTCGCAAATGTCATTAAGTCAAGAATAAAACAATGGGGAAATTTGAGCCATGTGAAACACTTTAAAATAGAGTGAACGTTCTCAAATGGATAAAAGGTTAAAAAGGCAAAACACATTTCTAGCTCTGTTCCTTGTCCAAACGATGTTGTCGAGTTCCTAGAAGTCGTGTCATAAGTACAAGTAACTCGTAAGTCATCGCCAGGTTGTACCTCTACTGGAGGATCGTGTCTGAAATAAAACAACATATATCCGTTGAAAGCATTGTTATTGAGAGTCATACGAGAATTTATTCATATATCTTTAGCTTTAGCTTTCCAAATGTTATGAATGTCATAGTCAAAGTTTTTGCATTGACTATTGAGTAATTAATTCTATGTAAATTCAAATAATAAATGTTTAAATATAAACAGAAATAGAGATTGATACGACAAGGAAAACTTGACTTTACACGGGCTTAGCTATTTTTTATGACATGTTTGTAATATTGCTAATATCATATGTTCATACGTACGCTACTGTTTTTACTTTCCAACCAGACTGGGCGTTTCTGGCATAAATGAGCATCCAGATGTCTCCCCCTCCCCCCTAAATCCGCCTCTGGCATCAATCAAATAAAATTATTTCAGTAGATTTATTTTTCTTTAATTTGATAAATACTTAACAAAAACAAAGTATGGAGACATCGTCAATGTTTGTCGTTGTATACACATGTATATATCTTATTTGCTGGTCCTTCAAGGAATATGGTGTTCGTGATATGTATTTGGTTGTCTCTATTAAATTTAACACGGTATTCTCGAGGCGATATGTATAGCTAGACATATGGTATAAACACTTTTCTATGACGACGATGTTCACACATGCACGTACATATCGATGTCTTATTTTGCACGTACATATTGATGTCTTACTTTATTCCTTATGTTGTCTTTTGTGATGTTTCCTTAAAGATTAATCCAGTTTAGTACTTTCGACAGTATTAAAAGTTGCTAGATGGGTAGAGCGTAAAACGAAGTTAAATTTAAATATAAACTTCATAACTGGTGAAGAATATCAACGAAAAACGTGCCTTTGAACTAAAATCGGTATCAAACATTTATTTCTGATAGCTGTTATTCAACTTATTGCATATTTAACAAGCATTTAACTTAATGGGGCTTTTGGTTGCTTTATCTTCCATCTATAATGTAATAAGTAAAGTGTGGATTTAAAATAACACTTACACTTTTATGTATTGTCTGTCGAATGAAAACTGATCTAGATCTGAGATTATATTGATTAAAGAACCATTCCGATACTGTTCTACTCTTTGTTTCCGACCTGTAAAATGTAAAGCCTGATTTGTACGATTATGTTATGAAGGTGGCCTACTTCAAGGCAAAATGCCGACCCCTATTCAGTAATTCTGCATACCAACATTTCTCAGTAACAGTCGAACTATCCACTCACCCCAGTCGCCGTTTCTATTGTATGTATTGTTAATTTGCTGTCGTTCTGGATATGCATGAACTACTTGACATTGGAGGTTCAGCAAAAAAAACAACAATAAACCCACAAGGAATCAATCTATTTAAGTGTGTATAAGGAACAGGACGCTTAGTTTGCTTGACCATGAACTCAAACTACAAATGAATTCGACAGCGAACTATTTATTATTGAAGAATATTTTGAATGGCTTGTTAGATAGTTATATAGATTAAAATTGCACTTTGCAACCATTGCAAACAATATTTTCTTCAAACGGTAAATCTGACGATATTGAGACAAACGACCTGACAACCATGATCTAATTGTTATCTGTCTTTCTTGAAAAAGTAGTGACTATCCTAATGTAAAAAGCATTGAAATCAGAAAACCTTAAATAAATCTCCAAAAGTTACATCAAGAAATGTTAGTAATTCAATATTTCATACCAAAAAAAAAATCAAACCATGTTTTTCTGTCCATTCTGTTGGTCTCGAGTCTACATGACGACCATAGTTTTATGACTCTCTTATATGCAGAAACACTTACATTGTCTTGCACACTGGGCCAGTGGGGGCGTACGTTTTGCCTCTCAACTGGTTTTGGTTTATGATAGTTTAACTGATTAAATTTCATTGTGAAAGAAATACTTGGTATTCGAATTTAAAACAGTATATTCATACTTACCTAAAGAATGCATGTGATTAAATGAAGAATGAATGTAAATAGGTCCTTGGAATTCACGTTTCGTACATTGTCCAGAACAAGTCCCTTCAACCTTGACCTCGGACTGTCCTGGTGCCAAATGAAACATAGTCTGACCGATAGTTAAGACGGCAGCATTATATGGTCGCAGATTTGGAGTGTAATACAAAGTCATTCCTGAACTGTCAGTGTAGCCCACATTATTTTCAGAATTCTGCCAGTGAATCTGGAATTTTAATTCCTTATAATTACTACTTCAACAATTATATAACAAAACATCAAGCTGAGGTGAATTATTTTGAAATAAATGCAGTCTGGTCACGGTTGCGCCACAATGGCTCACCGAAGATTTCATATGATAGAAATCCATTTATCAAGCTAAATTTCATGCTAAAGTTGTTGGAAAAGAACCTAAATTTAACTAGAAATAAGAGTACAATTTAATCTTTTTTGTGGACAAAGAAAAAACTAAACACAATTTTAATGTTCGTAAGTGAATCTAAATCTAGTAGATGCATTTTGCCTATTTTTTGGTATTGTTTTAGTCGTTTGAGTTTCAGTACAATGTAATCTGATATCGCTACATGAGTTTCTAAACGGTTTCTTAAAATAAGAATTGACATTAAACTAAATGATTTACCTGTAACATAAACCTGGTAAAACCATGATTACCAATCGGGATACCAAACTTATCGGGAAAACATTCCCCTTTGATACCAAGAGACCAAACTGTCACGATATGGCAATACGAAGGTCCTTCATTAGAATCACAAGTGTTCACCTCATTCATTCTGGGCTGATTCTCTGTATGTAGAATCGATATGTGAATAATGGAACTCAAAATGAGTAATAACGATCAAGATTAACTTTATGAATGATATATGCATGTGAAATGAGTTTTATTTTAGTTTTCTGAATTGCCAAACATTTGACGTTTCCGACGGAGGTAATTTCAGAAAAACTAAGACTGCATGAAATGTTATATCTACCGTATTTGAATAGTTGCAACCGTCAAAATGGGATTTGACTGTCGCAAATACATTTGTACTGGAAACGCGGCTCGTCAATTATTTATTATAGCATTGAGAAGTTTTTAATGTAACCTATACCTGGAATACGGGTTCAATTAAAGGGTCGTCATTAAAAGAAATTTATTGACATTTATATTAATAATAATAGAATATACATATTAATTTGGTTTCGGTGAATTCTGCTTTGCTTATTATCTGTTCTTTCATCGTACAAGGTGTAAATAAATAGTACAGACCTACAGCATCGCATCCAAAAAGTACAATATGATGAACAACACGTCTATTGTCAATAAAAGGTTTGACTGCAATCACGTGATAATCTCCATCCAATGGTACAGTTAGGTGTGTACATATGTATCTACTGCCTTTGTGTTGCACTTTTGTTTTTGGGATTCGTAATGTCAACTCTTTTACATCTGAAACAAGACATATGCAATCTGTTATTCTAATCGGTAGATATCGTAAATAGCATTTCATACACTAAAGAGCAATTGGGATAACTAATATAAAATTATATAGGGTCTTGATTGGGCCCATTCAGTTCTGTATTCTTTATTTTTTTTGGGAAGCCCCATCCACACCTTAATCATTAACTAAAAAAAGTTTTTAAAAAAAGTACTATTGTCTAATATATCAGATAGGACATAAAAACTCGCATAAATGCGAAATAACATTTCTAAGTAACTATTAAACCAGATAAAATTGAGAATAGAAATAGGGAATGTGTCAAAGAGACAACAACCCGACCAAAGAGCAAAAAACAGCAGAAGGCCACCAACGGGTCTTCAACACAGCGAGAAAATCCCGCACCCGGAGGCGCAAAAAAGACCCAAAAGTTTACATACTTACCAGAATCGTCTTGGATTAAAGGACATTGAAAATTATTGTCATCACATTTCAACCATTTATTCTTCTTTCTACAGTTTTCGCTTTCTGTTGGTTCACAGATGCCTTAAATGACAAAATTGATCAGTTAACACATCATTTTACAAGAAAGCACGATTCTTGTAAACGATCGTAAACAACCAGTTCGAGATCTGCGAGCACTTAGAATATGAACTTAAATTAAAAAAAAATAAAAAAATAAATCATTCATACATAATCTTGCACATAAGCTATTAATTATCAAATAGAGCACAACATTCCACGTTAATAGATTAATACAATTCAAGTTTATTATGTAAGAATTGAGTGCTTCTTTTTGTAAATTTATTGGGGTGAAAAAGCGTTAACCGAAGTACATTTTGTATGCATTGGTCAACGCTTTTACAACCCTTTGAGATTACTAAAAGAAGCATTTAATACTTATAATTACACATTTTCTTTGCTAGGATCATGAAAACACGATTTCTATCAGGTTTTTCTTTTATTTACCTGTGCACTTTGTTGTGGAAGCTCGTGTCATCATGAATGATTTATTGAAATGAAGGTTAATTTCAGAATGACGCGAGATTGCTGTTAGCCTATCAAATAACGTATCAGAATGAAACATACATGCAATGTAATTATTTTAATGTAACAGGCACGTGAATGGGCGATATCTCTTATTTGTATGATCATATGAGACCTTAAGAACAGTTCACCGTGACATGGAAGACCATTATTTATATTACAATTGATGGACAGTGTTCTCCCCTACCTGGATGAGTGATTGTAGAATTAGTGAACAGCTGACTGGTATTCTCAGTCCATAAACAGTCGGGATCTCCAAGTTCTTGTCCATTGGTGCGACCATCACCATCTGAATCAGCTCCACACACAGATTTAGTCCAGATCTAAAAATTATCAGAATAACAGGACTGTGTTAAATTCACTTACATAGAACATATAATCAGCTCCACACAAAGATTTATCAGAATAACAGTACTGCGTTAAATTCACTTACATAGTACATGTAGAAATGTATCACTTATCAGCAAAAAACTCAGATTTTGTCAATTAAACCAGTAAAAGACAAGATTGTACAGCGATTCATATTGCCATATAAAAGCCGTTATAAGGTATCAATTTGATGACAGAAAAATAGACACAATTAAGATTTCATTCCAAATCCATAACTATAAAACATCTTCTGAAAGTATAAATGCAACTGGAAAATTAAGATAATGGCACTTTTCATGTTTTATCAAAACTAATTGCTCTTTATAGGACAAGAGAAAAAATGAAATAATTATTTGTTACCTCTCTGTAAATCAGAAGTAGTCGTCTCATATCTTTGTGGCTAACGTCACTCAGATATATGAGAAGACTACATCTAATACTTGTTCTGTTGTGGAAACGTGTTTAACATTAATGTAAGTGAATAAAAACCAAGAAGTAATCTTATATGGGGGTTTAGTAATCCCCAGGTTTTATAACCCCTACTTATAGGATTATAACCCCCTCATTTTGAATCTGATTTTAACCCCCACTTTTTGAACCCCGATCTTAGGGGTTTGACCTTTTTTTTTTAAACAGATAATATAAAGTATCAGTTTGCAAGATTTAAAATATGGTATCCTATCCCTACAACATAATAATCCCCGACCGTGATATAAAACAATGTCATATATCAGTATAAAGATTCATTTGAAGACATCTTTTCGATTTTGATCTGTACGTTAATTTAACTGCTGATTCAATACGAATATACGAATACGAATATACGAATACGAATACGAATGTACGAATACGAATATAAATATATACTTTCTTTTATTCAATTAAAGGACCCGTTTATAGTACTAATTACGGTAATTTTACGATACATTACATGTAAAATAAATTAATAAATAACTATCCTCCATACAAGAAGGTGTATGATAAAAAAATGTGTATGTATTGTTCAATCTTACCTTTCCAGTGTTTACTTTGTTTTGATACAGATCGATTCCGAATGGATTCAGAGCTCCTCCACCTCCAGGTAATTCGTGTCCAACACCATTCCAGAGTTTGTTTTGGTGGCAGGGGTGAGGGGCTTTATCTCCGTTTGGAATGGACGATTGATATGACGGGTAGGAATAGTTGCCGTTAAACAAGGAAATTAAACACACACAAATCACTATGCTGTCAAGATTAAAAGATCACTCTTGAAAATGTAATAAATTCAAATTGAGAATTATAATATTTAAAAAAAAAATATGTGGTAATCTTATTTTAAATTTTAATTCTAAAAGCGATGGATCCACTAGTAATAAATTCAAATCAGGTGTAGATTTGGGGTACAATTTCTTGATTACTTGACTGCCAGTTACCTTTTTATTTTTGTTTGAGCCCTCCGATCCCCTTTTGAAAATTCTGGATCCACCTCTTCAAATCAAACTCATTGTTAAAAATCACGAATTTCGTATGTATTTCAAATACTTTTGCATGAACAATTTTCATTTTCATTTAAAAATAGGTACAGAATATTATGAAATGCAATACATCCGCTATAAATTCATAAACAATTAAAATTACTATAAACATTTCAGTAACTTACTATTTCAATTCACTCTTCGTTTTCATAATATTATCTGTAATTCAAAAAAATAATGTTTATTAACGCAGAAGTTTTATTTAGTTATATGTTTCAGTTATTATTCATGTATTTTTTAATTCATAATTTTATTTACACATTTACTTATGAATCTATTTATTCATTTCAATAATTCTCGGCATTTCCAATTTACTGTCTGTAAAACTAATTTATGGGAATGTTTGCACCTTTCAAAGATTAATTGTAATGAGTACTTTCCTTCAGATATTTTTTTAACTTTATAAATATATAATTAATGGTTTTCCACGTTTAAGAATAATCCACACAACCTCCTGTTATTTGCAGAGGAAAAAAACATCATTTCTCGTGACAATAATAACTTAATTCAAACACAATAATACAAACCCAATAACTTTTTTTTCTTTTATCCTAATGAAGAAATTTCCTATAACTAAATGTCTGCCTTTTCTGAATTCGTAAAGACATATTTTGTCACCAAAAATAAAAATACAAGTTATGTCATATCATTTATCATCATTTCTACTTCCCGTTCCTGTCGCGCCTTCGGCTGCTTCATTGAAAGATCGGAAACATGGTATATCCATACACCTATATTTGGTTATTACACTATTCAAAACCAGGGGCCATGTCGATGAAAGTATCCTAGGATATGTTCTAAGATATGTCTTATATCATTATTTAGGTTGGTCTTATGACGTGTCTGAGACATGTATTAGGATTTACAACAAGCTATCTTAGGACAGTCCTAACTACGATTGTCCTAGGACCATCTTAACACATTTATTTAATTAATAAAAATATGCAGAGAATTAATTGAAGTATATTTTAATGTAATTCTTCAAATGCTTACTGAAGGCCATATATGTTGTTTTTATTTCGATTTAGGACATCTTATCTTTTAGAACTATCCTAAGACCATCATAAGATACCTATGTATATATCCAAACTTTAGGACCAAATTTAGGACAGGTCATATCTTAGGAGACTTTCGTTAATCTGACTTAGGACTAAGACGTGTCCTAGGACCATCCTAAATAAAGGCAACAGTAGTATACCTTTACCGCTGTTCAATAGTCATAATTCGATTAAGCGAAACAAATCCGGGTAACAAACTAAAACTGAGGGAAACACATCAACTATAAGAGGAAAACAAAGGAACAACAGAAACACTGAACTACAACAAAAGCAAACGCCAACATACATAGAAACGGACTGTCTGATAACAACTTCCATATTCCTGACTTGGTACAGGACATTTTAAGAAAAAATGGTAGGTTGAACCTAGTTTTATGGCTAACCAAACCTCCCGCTTATATGGCAATGTTAAAAACACCGCTAAAATGACAACACTACGTGACAGGAATACAGTACAAATAAACGCAAGAACACTCAGCATAGAGAAATTAATAAATACATAATATAATAAGTACATTACAACATGTAAACCGCAGAATAACAACGGACACTTCCCATGAATTTACGACAGCCCACCAGGACATCACAAACGAAATATAAACTGCGCGTCACATGAACGTGATGAATGGATCAACGTCACAAAAAGTGACGTATTTTTTGTGACGTTTATATTATCACAGGTAAATTTCTAAAAACAAAATAGATTTGTTTTAGTTATAGACACGTAAAATAATTTTAAATTGTGATTGAGTTTGTAGTGGTGTTATTTTATGTATTTTCTAACCATGACAAGAATATAAAAATTGAAAAGTGTTTGTAAGGGTGTTATTATTTGTATTTCCTAACCATATCGGATTTTCTTCTAAATCAAAACTGTGTATAAACAAAAAATCATGTGCATATAGTTGCTTTAAACTTAAAATCAATCATATAAATGAAAAAGCTGATTTTTTATCTTAACTTTTACATACATATAGAAAATTAAAATAAAATAACTGTAATATAAGGCAAGTGCATGTAAGATCAAACAGTAAACACACAAGAAAACGAACAACATAAAACAAAAACACTGTAGACGAACCACGAGTAACACAACTATATTGACAAGACACGTCCTAGTCCTAAGACATATTAGTGGACACGTTATTTATTTTTCGGCTATCTTGTCCAAAATGCAGTGCTAAAGTAGGATCCTTTGGCTGGCATGGTAAGTCATCTGTTCTTATTATCTATAATTATGACAGTTATTTACTCTTCTTTATTTTCTTTCATATATGGTGACTTTTTTGTTAAGTTGTTTAATGGTTATAATCAAAACAAGTTTGCATTTCATTTTGATTACACTCCTTTAAAAGAATTACAGAGTTTGACTTAGAAAAAGACAGTTGTCGGCATTGTTTCTACTGTTCTTGTAAATACTGATTCTTAATATGCTGTTGTTTTATTATTGGAACTTACAGGTGTAATTTTAATTTTCTACAAACAGAAATTTATGGTTCTTTGCTGTAGAACATTTTTATTTAGCCTCAGCAAATTGAACAAGATTGAGTCATTCAAAGATAATTTTAAAAATTTAAAACCCTGTAAGGAATCACTAAACACAGGCTGATTATGAATTTCAAACACTTACTTTTGCTGCCAGATTTTGGATAAACACATTTACTAATGTCATGCTGGAGTTAATGCATCTAAATAATGCATAATATAGACAAATTGATTAACAATAACTTAAAAATGCTTGAACATTTTAGCACAAATTTTCCCAGTTCAAATTAATTTGTTTGTAATAAATTGCTATTGGTAAAATTGAGAATTCCAGAAATATTGATCTTATGATGAGGGCGATATATAAATTCTACCACAACATCAAGTGTGATACAATTTGTAGAAAAACCCAAGCTTGACGAGCTTCATAAATAAATAGTAGTTAAATATTGTATTTCACAAGATGCATTGGTTAAATCTGTTTATCTAATGATTTATAGACGATTTGTAGACATTCTCAATGATGTGCAAAAAATGTGTTCTTAATATGTGAATTTATGAGGCATGGTCGCCTTTTTATGCCCCTTCTCTAACTTTAATTTGCCTCTACCAATTGTTATGTTACATACACAATGCTTATTACCACAAAACACATATCAAGTTTGAATTTGGGTGGCGTCACTTTTACCGTTTTCGAGTTATGCCCCTTTATAACGTTGTATGCAAGCGGGGTCGTCATCTGTGTCCCATGGACACATTCTCCATTTATCTTATATCACAACAGGAAATTCAGAAGAAAGCAAGAAAATTTGATGTCATTATTGCATTTTGATTAATGAAGAAATGAAATCAAACGGACAACACGTTGATTATAAAAAGAAAAAATCAAATTGTCAGGTAAAATGAAAATACAAATTGTAGATAAATTTCAAATTGACATGTATCTCATTTTGATATGTAAATGGCTCACATGGTTGAATCAGGTGACGGTAGATGACATTAATAGTTGAGACCGATGTACAAGATAACACATGTTTTGTGTTTGTAGTAGATTGTGTTTGTCTGACATGTTTATCTTTTTGCAGGAGAGCAGTGTCCATGTGGAGAATGGGTTGTCCCTGCATTCCATATACAAACATCTAAAGTTGATGAATGTAATCTGTACAGACATATATCAGAAACCTTGTAGAATCAGGACAAAATACATGATTAACCAGGTGGAGTCAGCTAATAAATGTGACAGGAAGTCAGATCTAAACTCATTCATCGAATCTCTTGATTGGGAGAAAAAATAACAATAAAAGGACAAAGTTATTTTGATGTAAATATGGTGGATAAAATTTAGACAAATTAACCATCAATAAAGATGTATATTTATAGTTGTATTCTCTTATTCTTATTAAGAGAATTTTTTTTTTTGTGTTTTTCTTGCTCTTTTTCGTCATGACCATGACCAAGAAAAAACTTTATTAGAGTTAAAGAGAAAAGGAAAAAACTAAACTGTATACAAAGGTTGATTTGCTATCTAATTACTACTGTTTAACCTACATTTGTACATTAAGCTCCAATGTTTATCCCCGCAGAATAGTGTATGTCTTGCCTGTAATGAATGTTGTACAATGCCAGACACAGGAATGCTGATCTGACAGTAGCGGCATTAGCTTCATAATTTTTTTCATAATTCGGAATTTTGAAGAGCTGGATAATCTATATCTGGTATATACATGCCTTATGGTAGAAATTTCTACCTAGCATATATCTGTTGTCCTTGACCTCATTATTATGGTTCAATGAACACATAAAAACTTGATAGCTTTTTTATCATGTGATAGGACATACATGTAATATCATTGCATGATATAAATGTCCATCAGACAGGGTTCATTCCACCTTGACGGTTTGACATCATTTCATAGTTCATTGGTCAATTTGAGGTCCATTTCTCAGAAACTCTGAGAAGTAGGTCAACTATATTCAATATTTAGAACAATTGTAAGATTTACATATCCATCTAATAGAGTTCTTCTGACCTTGACCTTATTTTCATTGTTCCTAGGTAAATGTTCAGTTTTTTGTAATCAGGTTCATTAATCTGATACTATAAGTAGTAGGACAGCTATATTTTATGTATTAAAAATGATTGTTACATGTTCATGATCAACTGACATTGACATCATTTTCATGGTTCATTGGATAATGGTAAGTTTATTTAATACCTGTAGTGAAACCTTGATCTTAAGACTTACAACATAATGTTTTTACGTTCAGCAGGTATATAATTTTGATATTTTATAAATTAAACCATATGATACCATTTTCAACTTAGAAGCATTTACCATATCCTTTACTGTTAGTCAACTGGATAACGTCACAGTACCCAAATTGCACCGAGTACCAAAATTGCACCTATTCAACAAAAATAGCTGCCGAAATCTTACAAGTTTTCTTTGAGACTAAATAATTTGTATTTTTATGATTCGACATTATACACGTAATTTAACATATGTAAATATATTTAATATACACAAAACGTTCACAGTATATATATCAACAGATGAAGCACACTGGAAAAAGTATAATCTACGGAAACGTCGCCATGCGACGTTCA